AGGTGGACATTAGAAAGAATGAAGACTAAAGAGTCAGTGCAAAGACCCAAGGAAAGGTGGATGTATAACATACCTTGACAGTTTCGTCAGCGGGACTCAAATTATCACTTTCCATGGGAACAACCGCTTGAATCGAAGCATCCCCTACGGGAGCGGGAGTAGGTTCTGGAGGAGGATTGGTAGGTTGAGGTGTGTTGGTCACAACAGGAGCAGGTGGAGCATCAGGAGCATCCACATCGTGAATAATCTTTCTTTTCCTTTTCACTTGAAGACTCTCACGAAGAGACTCGTCTTCGTCATCAGAATCAAGAATAACTTGGGGAGAAGCCCTTTTTAATCGTCTTTGAAGGGTAGATGGTTTTCAACTAGCCTGAAAACAACATAAAATGGTGAGATGGAGTAAGGAGATCGAGATAGTAAAAGCTACGAAAGGCTACCTTTTGACCTTCGTCCTTGACTTCAGTCCTGGCTGTTGGGGCAGCACGTTTTGGAGCAGCTGAAAATAGATGATACTTAAAACAGTTAGCAACAATAAAGCTCAGAGAGGGAAGTCCAAATCAAAGGGGGATGAACCTTCAAGAATGTCGGATTCGATGCGAACATCTTCGATACTGACATGAAGGTGTCCTTTAAACGTATCGAGTGTATGTTTAGTCGGAACCACCCGATGTGCCTTGGGCTTAGACTGTTGTCGAAGAATTTTTATAGCATCTCCACAAATAAACCAATATGTTAATGGAAGGGCAAGAGCCACGCCAAAACCAGCAGTTGGTAGTCAAGGGATTTTTGGGGGGAAAAGTTTAAAGGCAACCTCATACAGTTTCTCGCGAGGAACAGAAGAGGGAATCTTTAAACTATCCAGTTTTTTGGAAAATTTTTCTTTTAAGGTAACAGCAGCCTCGCGGATGGTTCGACTAACATCATCTAGTCGATAGGCAGTTTCGAAATATTTCTGGAAGGCTTGGATCTCTTTGATATGAGTAGACGTACCTTTCTTGACCTTCTCCTGCACATCAATGAAAGCTTGGTCAATTAAGCAAGTAAAACTAGGAGCATCGAGAAATTATGAAGCATAATGCTTTGACCACCAGTCATAGAAGTTTTGGGAGCAAAAGTAAGAAGGTTCAAAGTGAATAGGTGTGAGGTAGGACTTGTGAGCGTGGCGTGCCAGTTGCGTCGAACAATCTAGAGGAGATAGCATAGTAAACAGAAGGATGATATGTGACTTCTTATCGTACAAACATTTGGGCAAGGTTTGAATTAACCCGAATTGCCTGGAGACCAAGTTAGGTTGATAGGCTAGCAGGCTGGAGTGACCTTTTACAAGGTTTAGTTTGTTGATCAGTAGGCGGGGAATGAGGAATCTCTCCCAGATCATCTTCGACTCCTCCTCGTGTTTCTTTAAGGGAGCAGGGAAGGGTCTAGTAAACCATTCTGGCCCATATTTTCGTTCTGCGAAGGGAGCCATGTTCGCGGTAAACTCATGCCGTTTTGCAAACATATGAGCAAAGCTGGACAAATTGGATCGAAGGGAATGACCTTCCTCACTAGGAGTAAGTTGAGCCAGGCGAGGCCATTCGACTCTTCTCTCAGCAACTGCAGGCAAATGTTCATCAACTTCACCTTTGTTGGGGAGACTGTGCTCAAAAGTGGTATTAAGCCACAACTGAAGCAGCCAGAAGGGGCCCGACAACAGCAGATTGCCATGACTGTCAGGATCTTTCAGTTTACCCGCACCTTCGCCTAAGGCTTCGTAAAGACTAGCCAGGATCATTCCACTGAGGCAAACACCTCTCTTCACATGTAGTTGGTTGGCCAGGACCAGATACTTCCGCGCCACCTGCAAAGATTTGGTACAAAATACACAGCGAGATAACCACATGGCCAAGAAGGCTATGTGTTCTTCATCATCAATAGAGGTACTAGTTTTATTGTGGTAGTGTTGAACAAAAGCTGTATAAGTGTGTTTAGTATTGGCAAAACCAATGTTGTCATGACTATCGATCTCGGGATCATAAATAAGGTCGTAGGGTTTTAGACCTACAATGGCAACTACGTCGAGTAAAGTGGGTGTCATCATCCCACAAGGAAGGTGAAAAGTGTTGTGAGTCCTATCCCAGAAGAATAAGGAGGAGGCCAGCATGAGAGGGCAGTACAAAGGGCCTACCTTCGACATCATAATCAGATTGTAAATCCCAGTGTCCTTCCATTCCTGGGCTTTTACCTTCTCTATTTTCGTTAGCCAGTTGAGATAGAGTTCAGAATCTTTAAAGTAGGGAGTGACCCTAAACAATCCGGCCCCATCATAAAGATACCTAAAGTCTACGTCGAAAAGGCTCAGGCTATCAGGATCGTCAGTGGAAATTTTATTGAAGTCTCTTTGCCCTAGGGGTTTAGTGGTTCTATAAGAAGGGAAGAAATCTTTAATGACGGAGTAGTCAATACCTGGAGGGGGTAAAGGCCCGGACATGGCTAAAGGTTTCCCTGCAATAGTAACAGGAATGATTACCTGAGATTCGTAGATGTGGCGTTTCTCTTCCGTCAGGGGTTCACGGATGAACTGTTGATTCTTTACCACCTGGGGACCGTTCAATTTAGCAAAGGGAGGAAGTGTGGAGGCAGAAGTTTGTCCCTTAGATGGCATTTTCTTCTTTTGATGATCAGCCATTTTTGAAGAAAGTGAGAGTTTGTTGGTTGGAAGCAGAAAATTAGAGAAAAAGCAAGGAAAGTTATGGGGAGTTAGAGAAGTTGTAAAAAATGAAAATATCAAAGGGAAATTACTTATATAAAGTATGAAAGACTAAAGGTTTTCATCATTAAGGGGCTAGAGTTGGTGAGCCACGTGTGTGTGCAGATGTGGGATGACAGAGGCAGTAGTTGCAATTCATGTCCCCGAGGTTGGAAAGGTGATGATGGCCCACGATTTTGTTGATTCCCGAGAAAATAGCTATGATGGTAGTGATGTCATAAACGTGCATCAAGGTGGCGGAACAGTAGCTTGCGTGTTCATAACTATCTTTCTTTTTCTCTTTCATTCCCTTTCAAATTCTCAGGCTCACATTGGTGGAAAGAGTATCAGACGACACTCATGAGGGCAAAACGGCGTCGAAGGTCATACGTTGTCAAAAAATGTGCTTTTCCACGGTCGAAGTTGAAAAGACATTTTTGGGGGGCAATTTGTTAGCTCCTAAATTCGACGCCTCAGCTAGAAAGAAGGTATCTAAGACAAAAGGGTGGAGAATAACTTGAATACAAGAAAATGGTCGAAAGAAGCAAAAAAGCTAAGTCGAAGGACTCGCCCAGAGGCCAAGGGTTCGACCGCCTGCTGAGACGAATGGTTTGTCGAAGTATTTGAAATTTGAATATTGGAGGGAACAGTTTTGCTTGTGAAAAATTGAGGGAGACACGTGTCACCTTATGAATACTGGATCCATGCATTTGAGACAAGTGGCGAAAGGAGATTATGGTGGAGGTTATGAGAGGTTATTTTTTGTTACTATAAATAGATTGTCTTAGACATATCCAAAGTGTGTTGTAATTTACTATTGTACAAATTACTCTTGAAATTACTCCAAGTATCCGAGTGTAGACAAAGCGAGTATTGTAAGAGAATGTACGTGATGTAAGCACACCATCTTTTAACTTAATGCAATTTACTTTTTACTTTAAGTTTTACAAAACTTTTTATTGTCTTTATTGTCTTTATTGTCTTTACTCCTCTTTTTCCCTTACCTTATTTCTCTCCTTCCTATGCAATTCTTTTCTCTTCGTCCTCAATCTAACTTCACCCTCACCAACAAACTTTCTTCTCTTTTATTAGAAGCCTTACTCTACCTTTAAATTAACCCGTAGTCGAATAGATGTTCTTTTAGAATTCTGTTTATCCCAATACTGTTCGAGTGTGGAACTTGAATAAATTCTTAAAACCAAAAATAGATCTTTTAGCACATGTCCTAGGATCAATCTGATCGATCCTGTGAGTCACCAATGTTAGATTTGAAAGATCAGCGGTTGTTTTCTGATTTTCAAGGGAAACACCACTACTGAAGGATTTTGTTTTGTTGACAAAGGGCCTCTACCACCGCCAAAAACTACGCTATGTCCGATGATGGAGGTTAGTCACATCGACTTGGCGATAACCTGGATATCGTATAGCTGCTAGTATTGAAAATTATTGAATGTGTCACCCTCCAAGTGTATTGAAAAATGTAAAATCTACAAGTGTGTCACCCTCCAAGTATTTTCAAATATTTCCTATTCAGATTTCATTTCATTCTCATTCTTTGATACTAGTATAAGTGTTAAAGTGTTAATCTTACAAATCTCTCTCCGGCATCGGAAAGTTAAAACCACCCTACCACACCTTAAATTCAATTCCTCTGATCATCATTAAATTCAACAGCAGAACGCAAATATTTCAGTTGTTGTAAAACAATTGATACTCTAATATAACTTTTATTTAAATGATGTTGTATAAAAGAACACCAATAGTTAAACTTAAACCACGTACCCTCGTTTTAAAATGGAAAGAGTGTGTTGTAGTTGTTAGAATCCATTTTGGACACCCTAAAAGACAGAGCAGTAAAAAGAAACACTCAAAATGAGTAGGCCCCTGCCTATGCTCCAAAACCAAACTAGAAGCAGTAATAACATCACGTGGGTGTAATCAAAACCAAATAGTCCCATCCCTCCCAACCTTGTTTTACTCGTGTCATCGTATGTCTATGTCCACTACTATCTGTGGCTTTTGCGTGTCCAAATTTCAACTCAAATTAACTAGTTTGTTTATAGTAATAATATTCTCTTTACAGAACGCTCTAATACAAAAAAGAAACAAAACATCAAAACCGCTAGGCACAATGAAAACGATGTTTATTTTATTTTGCCCACTGTATTCATTAATAATTTAATAACTAACGATCCTCCAACAAACCTATTTTATATATATGATGCCATCCCCTTCCACATCTACCTACTCTCATCATATCCCAAACTGAAAAATGAGTTTTGAAGATTCTCTTTCTCTTCAATCTACCTTCACTTTCCTCTTCTTCTCTTTCACCTTTCTATTCTCAATCTTCTCTCTTCTCATCTACATCTCTAGAATTAAACCATGGTGTAACTGCAACACTTGCAAAGCTTACTTATCTATGACTTGGTCGCAACACTTCATTAACCTCTGTGACTACTACACTCATCTTCTTAAAACCTCACCCACAGGAACAATCCATGTCCACGTCTTAGATAACATCATAACCGCAAATCCAGAAAATGTTGAATACATCCTCAAAACAAATTTCCACAACTACCCTAAAGGGAAACAGTTTTCCACCATTCTCGGCGATCTTCTCGGTCGCGGCATCTTCAATGTCGACGGTGATTCATGGAAGTTTCAACGGAAAATGGCGTCTCTTGAACTCGGTAGCGTAGCTATTCGTTCATACGCTATGGAACTTGTCACAGAAGAAATCAAAACAAGGCTTATTCCTCTCATTGTTTCCAAAAAGGATGAGAAAGATGATGCTTTTATTGACATGCAAGATATTCTTAGAAGATTCTCGTTCGACAACATTTGTAAATTCTCATTTGGTTTAGACCCGTGTTGTCTTGTTCCATCACTTCCTGTTTCAATGCTCGCTGACGCTTTTGATATCTCATCAAAGCTTTCAGCTGAGAGAGGAATGAGTGCGTCACCGCTAATATGGAAGATGAAGCGTTTCTTCAACATTGGGTCGGAGAAGAAGCTCAAAGAAGCGATTAAAGTGGTGAACGACATGGCAAAAGAGATGATAAAACAAAAACGAGAAATTGAAATTGGAGTTGACTCGCGAAAAGATCTTCTGTCGCGTTTTATGGGTTCTTTGAATTCAAACGAAGACCAATATTTAAAAGATATTGTAGTTAGTTTTCTTTTGGCGGGTCGTGATACGGTTGCTTCCACGTTAACCGGGTTTTTTATGTTATTGTCTAAGAATCCGGATGCTGAGAAAAAGATACGGGTTGAGTTAGACCGGATAATGAACCCGGTTCAGGAAGTTGCTACTTTTGAACAGACACGTGAGATGCATTATCTAAATGGAGCGATTCATGAGAGTATGAGGCTTTTGCCACCGGTTCAGTTTGATTCAAAGTTTGCTTTGGACGATGACGTATTACCTGATGGAACATTTGTTTAAAAAGGGAAGTCGGGTTACATATCATCCTTATGCGATGGGTCGGATGGAGAATATTTGGGGACCCGATTTTTTGGAATTTAAACCGGAGAGATGGTTGAGAGAAGGCATGTTTGTACCAAAATGTCCTTTTAAGTATCCAGTTTTTCAAGCAGGTGTGAGGGTTTGTTTGGGAAAGGAGCTGGCTATTATAGAGATGAAGGCTGTTGTTGCTGCTTTAGTGAGACGGTTTGATGTTCGGGTTGTTGGATCGAATCAAGAACCACGGTTCGAACCGGGTCTAACTGCCACATTTAGAGGTGGCTTGCCGGTTAAATTTTACGAAAGAATAGAACATGATTCTTTAGAATTAAGTTAATGTTAGATTGTAATAACTTTAAACTTATGCGTGAATAAAATCAATATATTTGTTTGCTCGAGATATTAAACCCAGGTTTTCACTATGAATCTAAAAAAGTTGATTTTCTTTGTGGATTGTTGAATTATATGATTGATTTTCGATGATAAATTTAGAAACCTATTTGAAGTTTTTTTTATTGAGGCACATGTATTTCTATTTTTCATTTTTAGATTGCAGCCTAATTGGTCCTTGTACAGCCAAGAAAATAAGTTTTATATTTATCTGCAGATGTTTTTGATGTGATTGTTGTTCTTCGTGTGATAGGGAATAACAATGCAATGCAAGATTTCTGGTTCCAGACAGAGTATTTCCACTTTAAGTCATCACAACCTTATACTACATTATTATAAAATCAATTTAATATTATAAAAACAATTTTGACAATTTTGTTTTCTCATATTTTTTCTTAGGTGAGATAGTTAAAGATATTGGAGACAACCTTCAACACGATGATTTATTAATATGTGCTTTTTAAAATGAAACATGAAAAAAAAAACATATAGTATATAAAAAAACATTTCAGTTAAATTGTGAATCATAATTTTTTTTTAAAATGATTTTTTTAATAAAAGTTTTTAGACGCGTAAATTACAATTGAAAATTTAAAGTTACTTCTATTTACAAGTCTAATTTTTATGAATTTGTATACATTTGAACAATTACAAGAATATGAAATTAAACTAAAAATGCTAGCTAAACATGAAGAAGGTGGTCAAAAGAATCAATGTCTTGCATTAAAAGTTACAAAGGGCAAAGGTATAGAGTTAGAAGACAAAGAATACTAAAGTAAAAGTAATAAAAACATGGATCCCATGTTTCACAAATTTATAATATTCCTACGACACATTAAAAAAATCCAAACTTTTAGAAAAAAAGTAAAGAAAGATCACCTATCATATCAACTTGCTTCCGGTATAGAAAGATTGATCACACAAAACTTGAATGATACAAAAGACCACAAGAAGATTAAAAAGGAGGAAGAAACATACTCATTTCCCATGACAGTCCACGAAAAAAACAATTTGTAATTTAACTTCTGAATTTACTTATAATGAGTTATTTCGCATCTATAAAATGTTATTAGATTAGGATTCAAGTAAATTAAAATAGCATGTTTCTACCTTTAAGACTGTTATATCCTCCTTCAAAATAGAAAACCAAAAATTGTTAGAAGAAATAGATAGTCTTAAAGAGAAATAAAGTATTTTAACTCAAAATTCTTCTCATTCTCATGAGAGTATGGTTAAACCTACCAAGTGTGAACAATGCAATGTTTTGAGAAAAAAAATGATGACTTTGATAACACGCTTGATAAGTTTACTAAAGGAAGAAATAACTTGAATCTTCTTCTAAATAATCAAAGAGCATCTTATAACAAAGCAGGTATAGGATTAGAACCTAAAAATAATGTTAAATTTGTAAGCAACACATGCCTTAAAATAAGATCTCTAAATAAAATACTCTTAAATATAATTATTGCAACAAAAATGAACATGTCACTCTATTTTTCTTAGTTAAGAAAATTCATGATTGTGAAAATGTATATCTGCCTTCTCGTTTCTATAAACAAATAACTTGGAAATACAATGAGAAATACCACTGCTACGTCTTCCTTTAATGATTATAACTCTAGTCCAAAACCTAGAGATAACATGTATTCTAATAATGTAAAATGCAATTTTCACTTGGTTGAACGTAGAGATTTGACTGGTTTGCATCTATGACTTGAATAATAGTTTTCACATTATTCGAATCATGTAACACTATGACTCGAACCACAAGTTGCACCTAATCCGAATCACACAATTCATGTTAGCCTCTACCAAGTTTGATTCAAATCACCACTTACACATGACTAAAATCACACATTTTCTCACTTTTTCCTGTTTGTCACTATACAAATTGATTCGAATCACAATTTATACATGACTTTTGTCGACTCGAATCAAAGTTATAACATGACTCAAATCACAAGAAAAATGGATCACTTCCTTTATGTTGATCTTATTTCATTCTATTTGCTCACTTGACTTAAATCACCAAATACTCTTGATTTGAATCAAACAATATTTTTTCATGTTGTTTTTGGGTTTTATTTTATCTCCAACACCTATAAATCATTTTTGTCACTTAAAATCAAACAAGTTTTTAGTGAGGAAAAACAAAGATTTCATAGATTTTTTGAAGTCAATCAGAAGTAAGAGTTGTGACCACTTCAATTCTTTCTGAGTTTTTCAAACCACTTGTTCTAAAGTTCTTGGAACACTTATAAGCAAATTTCTTTCATCTTCAACATCTACTTTAGATTCATATTTTGATTTGAGATATTTGTAATTGTTGAGGGAGACATGTCTTGAAACTATAATTTCTTGAAGGATGTGTAAAGATTTTGAAGAGGCTTGTAAGATCTTAGTAGTTGTGAATGGTTGTGCCGAATTCTAGTGAAAAAGAGGTTCTTCTCTCTAAGATGACATTGGTAGAGTTGTGTTGAAGCATATATACAATGTAGGCGTTCTTCTAAATCATCAGGCAGTTTATCGCTCAAGAAATCGGTGGGATCAGGGGTAGTTGCCACACACGAAGACTTGTAGCAGGTTGATGAATCTGGAAGATTCAAGAAGTGAGAATCAAGTAAACATTCTGCAGAGAGATTGACATAAAGGCTGCATACAAGTCAAGATGCAGATAAAATATTTATTTTCTCAACATTATTGTAGATATTGTGATTGTATGAACCGTGTAAATTTTGTCAAAACCTGGTGGAAGTAAAACTTTCAATGGGAAACCATTTAGATAGTAGAGTAGGCTCCAGCAAGGACAATAAAACCTAACCAATATACATTCTGGTGTACACACACACACACACAAACACACACACTCTCTCTCTATCTTCCTCTCCTCTCTCTCTCTCCCCTCCCTCTCTCTCTCTCTCTCTCTCTCTCTCTCTCTCTCTCTCTCTCTCTCTCTCTCTCTCTCTCTCTCTCTCTCTCGTCTCTCTCTCTCTCTCTCTCTCTCTCTCTCTCTCTCTCTCTTACATTTTAACTTTCATAGGCTATTGCATATTTAGGTAATTGTTTCTTAGAGTAGTTTATTGTTAACTCAGGTTGGTAGAGATTTATTACAAAAATGTAGGTTTTGTTAGAATCATAACCTATTTTTGTTTTAACGCTGATTAAAATATGTCGCGGTAAGAATTGGATATCAAACTATTGAATTAACTTAAATCACAAATCTTAATTCACCACTGATCTTTAATTTATCCGAGGGAAGGGAAAAAGAGCGAATAACCCAAAATATGCAACGCAAAAACAAAGCAAAAGAGAATATAAGTTCAGGGGTTAGTTATACCTAAGAAAGGTCTTAGCATTCGAATCATTTATAGTACTATATATGAACCTCTTGTTAGTATTTGTGTTATCGTAGTTTGCTAAGGGGTAAGAGACCTAGGGGTTTATTTATAAGTATGTTCGCCAAGACATCACAGCTCGAGCCTACGTATCCTGACGGGAATGGAATCAGAGCATTCGTAGTTCCCCTCAAAGGGTGAAACCAATGTTTATTGGTTGATTTTTAGAAGAAGAGACAAGTTATCATCTTAAGGAGAATACTAAAATTAAACCACCACAAATATGTGGAAGATGTATTTTTACTTCACATTAAGAGAAGGGCTCTAACTCGGATATAGAATCGACGAGTATGTCACATACCTCTCTCAAGTGGAAAAGAATATACATCTTTCACAACTACGTCACAGGGTAGGAGAATTATATCTCGACTAAGGATGACTAATGTCTAAATCTATCATGGGAGAAAAGGGAACCTAATTGTAGGTTGTCTAGTTAACATTCGAAGGGAACTAACCTAATTTTGTGAATCTAAAATAAGATTGAAGGGGAAAGCTATCTTATTGTTATCATGCAATAAGGGATTAATCCTAAAGTCTAATCTTAATTCAAATTAGTCATAAATTAAATTGAGTCAAGATATCCTAAGCGATCATGGAAATCGAAAAGATAGGAAATTAAACTTAAACTAAAAGATATCAAACATTTATCAGGTGAAACATTAAAATCATATAGAAATACCACCCAGAGGCGCATCAATCCCTACCTTCAGATACTTGTCTATGATTTATAACTTTGAATCAAGAAATTAATCACCAATTTAAAATAAAACTTAATCTTACTTAAGTCAATAATCAGTCATAAATTTTAATAAAAAATTAAATCACAAATTTTAAATCATCAAAAATACTTATAAAAAATTCAAAATTTGAAAATTGCATTTGTTATTAGTAAGAACATTGAGTGCAACAAAAAAACAGATGGGCCATCTTAAACCCAAGAAAATAAAAAATATATAAAAAGTAAAATAAAAATAAAAATATTAGAAAAAAATGAAATAAAATAAGAATCAAAGTAAATAAAAGGCTTCAAAACAAACCGTGTGGGCATATCAATCTTCATTTCATTTGGATTAAAAGAGGATAAAACAAAACCTTCAGCAAGCATGATTCCCACTCGCAACCTCCCTACGTCTTCCCTCATCTCGCTGACGTTCTCCCTTTCTGTCTCTTTCTCTTGATGCCACGTCGTAGTTTGTG